TAGTGTACCCCCCTGCCAGGGCAGGGTTGTTGCTCATTGTAAATGTATTAGCCTTTTGTCCACTCTGGCTTTAAATCTACCACGCAATGGGGCTTCTACTACATTCCTCAGGGGACAATTCCACAGACGAAATGTTTATTATTACTATGTTTTACCATCATATCTAGACGCCTCAATGGAGACCAGGACCCACCCACCATGCACATAGTGAAACACAGTCCCTGACCTGAAGAGTTGGCAATGTAAATAGATGGGACAGAGAAATGAAGGATTGTTACTGCTATTCTACAGATGGGGAACTGACATACAGAGAGACTAAGTGACTTGACCAAGGTTACCCAAGAAAGTCTGTAGCACAGCAGGAATTTACCTCAGCCCATCTGCATTTCTGTCAAGTGGCATAACCCCAAGGCCATCCTTCCTCTCTGCTCAGGTTACTCAAAAGTTCTTCCTGACATTCACCCAGCTACTACAATGCTCCAAGGCCACCGGGGTGACCTAGGCTCAGGCTCAAGGATGTTTGTAAGAGGAACTTGAAAACTTTCAACAGTGTCACAAGCTAGGAAGATGGGGCTAGCAACAGGCTGCACTGAAGGGCTGCGCTGCACCTGGGAATCAAAAAGGCTGAAGAGAAGTGATTGAGAGAGAGGAAAGCAAAGGGCAGCAGGCCTCAAATGTCAATCGTGACCCGGCTTCATCTCCGGGCCCTGCTGCTTACGCCTGCATTATCTGTGGCAAGGACCGTCACTTGAGAATTGGACTTTTGAACCACTTGTGATGCAGCAGCACCATACCCAAGAACTAAATCGCTGTGGGGCGTACAGCATTGTCTTCTAACTTCAGTGCTGTGCATGAGGTAAGAACCTGTCCAGAGTAGAAAACACTTCCCCTTTCTCAGTTTCACCCCACGACTCCATGTTAGAGCTCTTCGTACCAAAGGCACGGGAGTATATGTGGAGCGTGCCCAGCTGACTGTTAACATAGCCTCCTCTTTGAAACTCAGCATAACCTACTTGTGCGGTATAAATGAGCAATGGATTCAGATTAGAGACAGATTAACAGAATCCTACAGCTGCGATTGGCTGCTAGAGCTGGGCAGGGCACATCTTTTCTCTGGTGTGGCTTCGCCACGGGTCATATTCTTGAGTTTCTAGTTTAAACAAACCCCAGACAGGCACGTATCTGTGCATTTTTCATCCATGGATCTCAAAGCATGGTATGAAGCATGATTAGCCCTATTTTACAGGTGTAGAAACTAGGGCACTGGGAAGGTTCAAAGGCCCAATCTTTCAAATCTAGGTGCCTAAAGTCAAGCCCGTAAATCCAGATTTAGGCACTGAAATAAGTGTCCTGATGATCAGGGCGACTGAGCACCGGCAGTTCCCGTTGACCCCGGTAGGGATTCTGAGCATGGAGGGCTCAGGGGATCAGGCATGACATCTCTAGATCGTCACACCATTGTCATGGAATACTGATGGGGCTGGGGGGTGACTGTGATCTCGCTGTGTGCATGCATCCTCTTGGACCCTCTCAATTCTCCGTCTTCTTTGCCAGGCTCTTGTAATTCATTCCGTGATGGTCGCTGCTGACAGCAGAGTAAACTGAATACAGGTTGCCCGGTTGCTGAGTTAATTTATTCCTGGTGGGCAGTGTTTCAGCTTTCAGGCTGGTGGGACGGCACATCCCTCCCTTTGTCTCCCTCTCCCCCAAGACTAATAGCAACACCATCAAGATCGAAGGAGTTGTCACTTAACATCAGAGGGAAGGTGGTGACGGGCCGCATCACACTACAGCACGAACATTCCAGCTGTCATCGTTAGCAGTCTGCTAGAAGATGCCATTGCGGTCCAGTGTTCTTGAAACTTGGCTTAAACACACATATTCTCGCTCTGAGCAGCTCTTTAGGATTCAGAAGTGGCATGGGCTGTCATATCTGATGCGACGTGTCGTGCGTCGCCTTCAGAATCCTGAGGCCTTTGATTTCACGAGTCTGGTTTTGATTCTGTTCAGCCAGATTCAATAGAAACATCGGCAGAAGCCCAAGCAAACTCAAAATGAATAAACCAAAATCAAATCAGTCTTGGGGCTTGTCTACGTTACCGCTTAAGTCATTGTAACGTGCGTCGCTCAGGGGTGTGGAAAAGCCACTCCCCGGAGCGACGCAAGTTACGTCGACTTAAATATCAAGTATTGGGGGTTGCCGTGTTAGACTGTATCCACAAAAACAAGGAGTCCGGTGGCATCTTAAAGACTTCATGCATCTGAAGAAGTGGGTTTTTTACCCATGAAAGCTTATGTCCAAATAAACCTGTTAGTCTTTAAGGTGCCACCGGACTCCTTGTTGTTTTTGTCGACTTAAAGTGTTCTCCACCCTGCGCTATGTCAGCAGGAAAGCATCTCCCGCTGACATAGCTTCCAGCTCTCGTTGAAGTGGAGTAATTACACTGACAGGAGAGTGCTCTTCAGCAGACGATGTTGTGCAGTAGTGTAGACTGGCCCTTAGTTTGCAGTTCTTGGGGCTTTAATCTGACTGTTTTTATGGGATCTGGACCATGGCATTCTGTACACTTCATGTATGGCTGGGTGTACAAGACACCACTGCTATCTTGTGGAAGGAATGTCAGTCCAGCTCAAATGTTTGATTATGTTACCCTCTGCTGGCTGAATTTCAAAGGGCCTATAAGTCCTACTAATCCCGTTTTAAGGATCTGATTGTGCACATATTTCTATATAGAAATCATAGAAGTGTAGGACTAGAAGGGACCTTGAAAGGTCATTGAGTCAAGTCCAGTCCCCTGCCTTCACCACAGGACCAAGTATCATCCCTGATAGATTTTTGCTCCAGATCCCTAAATGGCCCCTTCAAGGATTGAACTCACACCCCTGGGTTTAGTAGGCCAATGCTCAAACCACTGAGCTATCCCTCCCCCCCCATACATGGGAGTAATTTTGCTCAAGCAAGTCATCCCAAATGGGACCATTCAGCAGCAAAGTCTCTTGCAGGCTTAAATGTTTACAGGATTGGACCCTAAAACTGGACAATTATACCCTGATTTGCAGATGTGCTGAGCACTCGCAGCACCCACTGACGTCAGGAGGAACTGCACCAATGAAATTGGCGACGCACCAATGAAAATCAGACTGCTTATATCTTTCTTTTTACTGAATTTAAAAAAAAATATCTGAAATTTTGCATCTGCCAAACTCCAGTTGATGCAAAATTTCCGGGAGATGGGAATGTTTTCCAGTGGAAAATATACAAAAAATGCCAATGTCCATGTTTCCAATGTGACGCAAGCGTCATTTGAAATAGGTTTCCTTTTTGCTCCATAAAAGAATCCTATTCCCTTAGTAAAATTGTGTGAGAAAACCACGTCTTTCTTGAATTCACAATGAAATACAAAAAGCTAAGACTTTTGAGTAGTTTTGCTTTTCTGACCCTGATTCCTCCTTGGGCCAAATGATACAAGTTCAACGACTTTAGAGTAAAAGGGTCCTAAATTCTGCACCTCACAATCTGAGTAGGAAATAGCTAACCGTGGAATCTGTATAGCCAAAGATTCAATACAATAGCCAACCATAGCACTGTATTTCAGAAACCAACTATTTCAATACATATAATGACAGTGTTCAATTATAATGGGGGAGAAACAGATAAGCACAAACAACTGTCTACTATTATATAAAACAGGCATGAATGCATAGATTTTAAGGCCAAGAGAGTCCATTACATCATCTAGTCCAGGGGCGGGCCAGCTTTTTGGCCTGAGGGCCACATCAGGTTTCCGAAATTGTATGGCGGGCCGGTTAGGGGAGGCTGTGCCTCCCCAAACAGCCAGGCGTAGCCCGGCCCCTGCCCCCATCTGACCCCCCCTGCTTCTCGCCCCCTGACGGCCCCTCCTGCCCCATCCAATCCCTCCTCTCATTCCTGACTGCCCCCCCGGGACCCCTGCCCCATCCAACCACCCCTTCTCCCTGACCGCCCCCTCTACAGCCACGCCGCCCAGAGCACCAGGATAGGCAGCCGCGCCGCCCGGCTGGAGCCAGCCACGCCACCGCACAGCACAGAGCACCGGGTCAGGCTGCAGCTCTGCAGTTGTGCTGCCCAGAGCATTGCACCGGCAGCGCAGTGAGCGGAGCCTGCAGGGGAGCGGGGACAACACGGGAGGGGCCAGGGTCTAGTCTCCCAGGCCAGGAGCTCAGGGGCCGGGCAGGAGGGTCCCCCGGGCCAGATGTGGCCCGCGGGCCGTAGTTTGCCCACCCCTGATCTAGTCTGACCTCTTGTATAACACAGGCCTTAGAATTTCACCCAGTTATTACTGAGCCCAGTAACATATGTTTGGCTAAACATCATCTTCCAGAAAGGCATCTGTCCTGATTTGAAAACTTCAAGACATGGAGAATCCACTACTTCCCTTTGTAGTTTGCTCCAATGGCTTATCACACTTACTGTTAAAAATGTGTGCCTACTTTCTAATCAGAATTTGTCTGGTTTAGCTTCCAACCATTGCTTCTTGTTATGGCTTTCTTTGCTAAAGGGCCCTTAAATTAGAGATTAAAAATAACAAATGTATTTTATTTTATGAGACCACAAATTGGATTAGTACCATTTAAGAATAGATAAAGTTTACATCAAAACAGCATTTCATAAAACTCAGCACTTTCTGAAGCGACACTTAGATCTGGTTTTCCCACTGCAAGTTATTTCTCAAAAGAGCTGGTTGAAAAGGATCAAAATTGGAAATGTTCATTACATTTTTTATCAAACGCTGCCCTGCTCCCCAAAATCCCCCACACCAACCTGAAATGAAATATTCAAGAAAATTTTGTTTCAATGTTTAAACTGTTATAGAACTGGTAAAAAAATTAAAAAAAAAAAATTTGGGGAAAAAACCCTAAATGAAAAATTTCATGAAACTGTCCCTTGTTTTTTCCAACCAGCTCCGTTTATTCAAAATGGAAAATAAATGAATGAGTAGGTAACACATGGAAATACTGACTTTGCCTTGAGTGTTTCCTCCTGAAAATTCCAGTGCGGGTCTTCAACTAGCTGCAGTTCTCGGAGAACGCTGCCTGGTTTGTAAGCTGCGTTGATTACCATGCTAAGAACCTAATGAAAGACAAAAGTAAACACTGATAGCTTTAATAGAGTGACCACATAGTCACTATCCTCATATCTGCACTGAAGTAGCATCTGGAGGCAACAACTGACTCAGGGCCCCTTTGTGCTAGGCACTGTATATATTCACAATGACAGAGGTCCCCGCCTCCAGAGAGATTACAATCTAAGCAGTGCTTTAAGTGTAATGCAGGTGTTGTCAATGTGCATGTTAACATTCTATGGTATTTACACGATTCTATGGGGGGGGGGAGAGGGTGAGCTGGTTTTAACACCCTATACTTAACTTGATCCTTCACAGATTTGCAACTGACTCTAAACACATCTACTCCCCACCCCCACTGCAGTCGCCTCCAGACATTATTACAAGAGAGAAGCTGATTAGATCATAATAGCATACAGTAGAGATGATCTCTTGCATCCTTTCCAGTCATGGGTAGGGCCCTACCAAATTCACGGCCGTGAAAAAATGTCACGGACCGTGAAATCTGGTTTTTTGTGTAATTTTGCCCTATACTATACAGATTTATGGGGGAGACTAGTGTTTCTCAAACTAGGGGTCCTGACCCAAAAGGAGGTTGCAGGAGGGGTCTCAAGGTTATTTTAGGGGGCTCACGGTATTGTCACCCTTACTTCTGCGCTGCTGCCTTCAGAGCTAGGTGGCCAAAGAGTGGTGGCTGCTAACCGAGGGCCCAGCTCTGAAGGCAGCAGCGCAGAAGTAAGGTTGGCGATACTGTACCACGTCATCCTTACTTCTGCGCTGCTGCTGGCAGGGCGCTGCCTTCAGAGCTGGGCTCCTGGCCAGCAGCCGCCACTCTCCAGCTGCCCAGGTCTGAAGGCAGCGCTGCGGCCAGCCGCTGCGCAGAAGTAAGGGTGGCAATACCACGACCTCTCTACAATAACCTTCAGACCCTCCCCCCCAAAAAAATCCATTTTGGATCAGGACCCCTACAGTTACAACACCATGAAATTTCAGGTTTAAATATCTGTAATCATGAAATTTATGATTTTTAAAATCCCATGACCGTGAAATTGACCAAAATAGACTGTGAATTTGGTAGGACCCTAGTCTTGGGAGTTTGCCATCATTTTTGGAAACCAAGTTGGATAATTTTCAGTCATGAATTTCACTTAATGCTACAGATTACAATGTAAAGCAGGCATAATTTGAATAGCCTGATGGGTTTGCTTATTAGTGGAAGCAAGATATTAATTCGTTATTAGACCTTTGTAGATTTCACAAGACTGCTCATTAAAAGAAATGAACTTTGAAATACTCAAAATAGTGTCCAATAATAATACTCCCAGGTTCTTATACCATGCTTTTCACCTACAGATCTCAAAGCACTTCACAAAGGAAGATAGGGATCATTATCCCCATTTTACAGATGGGCAAACTGAGGCACAAATTTGCCCACAGTCACTTAGCAGGCTAGTGGCAGAGCAAAGAATAGAGCTCCAGTCTCCTGAGTCCTAGTCTAGCATCCTACCCAGTGGCTCACACTGCCTTCCAACAACAACAACAAAAAAGGACAAATCCGTATGTTCTCAGCCAATCAACACTCATAACTGTTCCCCTCCCATCACCCACTGCAGAACTGACAGGGGCACTGGCCTGTGTGACTCACAGCCATAGGAGTTGAATGGCCTTTTAAGGGCTCCCACCCTCGCTGGCCTGCGTAGCTGCATCTACTACACTAGCCTCTTTTGGGAAACCTCCCTCATTTCACTTCCAACAAGTACAGAAAACACAGCAATGTGAACACTGGTGCCCGGTCCACACTGACACTCCCATAATTGCGACCACCAGCACAACTGCACTGGTGGTCCTGAAACAACGCATGGTTTTCCCCAAAGACCTAATGTAGGCAAGGCCAACGGCAGAGAAAAGCCACTTGGGATGGCTGCGAGCAGTCCCCAGTATGGTTCAAGGATGCTCCTTCCAGATATGCTACCCTTGGCATCTAGGCTCCAATTCAGCAAAGCACTTAAGACTTGGATGTTTTGTTGAACTGGTGTCCTACCCAGCCTGTGTCTAAGATGCCCCATATCCCCTTCACATTAATGTGTCTTCTCAATCCAGCACCAGCTGGAAATAAACAATTGCCTGTTAGAGAGAGCTTGATCAATTGGAGTGTGACCTCCCTTACTTCCTAATGCTGCGGGCTACTGAATTGCAAAACAGGATCCTCAGGGTAGTGGTGGCAGCCAAACTGTTTGACATATTAAAAACTAGACTGGACACAGCACTAGGAAACGTAACACGGGGAAGTGAACAATCCTGCATTGACAGGGAGATGGCCTCTTCCACCTCTAATTCTTATGACAGCCTATAGGGAATGAGGCAAATCACCGGTAACAATTGTTTCTCCTGTATTTCTATCTGCAGGTCACCCACAAATGACCGCATGCTTGCTGTGCTGCAGCATTGTCTTCTCCTTTGCATGCACTTTGCTCTCATTTGCTTCATGAGGTGCTGCCCGCTCCTCATGTTTCATCGACTGTCTGATTGTGCCCCTGGGAGCTCTCTTAACGTTGCTGATTTCCATTGGGACCTGGAGCCTGCTTCTTTTGGCCCAGCTAGACACTACTCCATCCACGAATGTCACGAATTAAAGAATCTGACTTAGATCAAGAACCGTTCAGTCATACAGGTCCCATTCCTGCAACCTTTCCCCTCCATGCGTTCACAAGGACCATGGAGCAGGTGAATAACACATCTCTGTTGTTCAGCAGTTGTAAGGGGAAGGACAGATCGTTCTTTAAATGGTTAGTTAATCCATAGATAATAAAACTTAGCACTCAAACATTAACTGAACAGCACCCAACCCCTATTTATTTTCTTTATTTTGCAAATGGAGGCAGAGCCATTACGGGCCAGATCTTCAACAGGGCTAAGCTCATGAAAATCTGGCCACTCATTTTGATGTCTAAATGGAAACAGAGCTGTTTTGAAAATGTGTCCCTAAGTGACTTGCCCAGAGCACGCAACCCGTCAATGGCAGAGCTGGAAATGAAGTATTTGATCACCAGAAACAACACGTACTAGGAGTGAAAAGACATTCACTCTGTAGTAGGGTAACCCGGTTAAATAGAGAACTCTGATGATTACATTGCGGCATAATGTTTCTCTAAACAAAAGCGCACTGTTGTGATGATTATTGTTTCATCTCCGATATGCACATGGCAATGATCTGTAAACCTGTTCAAAGCTTCCTACCTAAATAAAAAGATAAGCAAGAAAGACAGAAATCAGGCATTTGTGGCCTGACTGACTCACTTAGACACCATTGCCTTGATCACCTATTAAAGTGATATCTGTTCCAAGTACAGTTGTAGGGACAGAGTTCCACTGCTCAGTCTGTCTGGGTTTTACCTTAGACACCCAATTTATTTCAGTCCTGTACCAATGCTAACAATACCAGCGTTTTTCTCTGAATTGGCTTGTCTCCACCGTGACTCTTAGTCATCTAAGCTCACGTAGGAAAATAATGTTTTGACGGGATAATAATTTCCCTTTGGGAGGGAAAATGAGTTAGCTTTGTCTCTGTGTTTATTTCGTATAAGTCCCTTGGCTTGTCACTAACCTTCCAGCAGGAGTCCATTACCATGTTAACAGTGTTCTCTTCCAATGACATTATCTCTTAATCTCACACACAGTTCAACACTACTTTACTTCTTTGGGGAAAGGGAACTGGGTTTTAAAAAGTTCCCTAAAAGGTATTTAGGCATCTAACTCCCATGATTTCAATAGGATCTGGGCCCAAATCCTGATCTCATTCAATGAAATGTCCACTGGTTTCAGCATAGCTAGATATGATCCAAGTAACTAATTTTGGGCAACTTTCTTGAATCCACATGTATTTCTCTTTTACTATGCTTTCCAATGCCAGTGAGGACGGATTCCATTTTTGGCCCATGATGTCATAAATACATAGTCTATGGCCTTGGCTACACTTGCAGATGTACAACGCTGTGAGTTAAACCTGACTTCGTGCAGCTGAGTAGGGAAAGCGCTGCAGTCTGTCCACACTGACAGCTGCCCAGCGCACTGTCGTGGCCACATTTGTGGCAATTGCAGTGCTATTGGGAGCGGTGCATTATGGGCAGCTATCCCACAGAGCACCTCTTCCCATTCTGGTGCCGTGGGTTGTGGGAAGGGGGCGTGGGTGCAGGGCATCTGGGTCCTGTCCCAATGCCCCGTGATGCATCACTTCACATCCCAGAAATCCCTTTGTTTCCGTCCACCTTTGGCGCCATCTTTCAACGGTTTCTATGCAGCGCGATCTGTCTGCGGGAAATGGAGCCCGAACTGCTGAGGCGTATGCTGACGAGTCTCGCCAGCACGTCACGTTTGGCTGTCGAACTATTCCTTAAGATCCAAAGTGACAGTGAGAGTGAGGAGTCCGACGATGCTATCGAGCCGCGTAACGCGTACGACACGAAATTGCTTGTGGCATTCACGGACATGCTCAGCACCGTGGAACGCCGCTTTTGGGCTCGGGAAACAAGCACCGAGTGGTGGGATCACATCGTCATGGAAGTCTGGGATGACGAGCAGTGGCTGCAGAACTTTCGGATGAGAAAAGCCACTTTCATGGGACTGTGTGAGGAGCTCGCCCCCACCCTGCAGCGCAAGGACACGAGATTGAGAGCTGCCCTGCCAGTGGAGAAGCGGGTGACTATTGCAATCCGGAAGCTGGCAACTCCAGACAGCTATTGGTCGGTCACAAACTAGTTTGGAGTGGGAAAGTCGACCATTGGAATCGTGTTGATGCAAGTTTGCAAGGCAATTAATCACATCCTACTCAGAAGAACCGTGACTCTGGGTAAAGTGCAGGAAATAGTGGATGGCTTTGCACAAATGGGGTTCCCTAACTGTGGAGGGGCAATAGATGGGACGCACATTCCTATTCTGGCACCACCCCACCTAGGATCCGAGTATGTTAATCGGAAGGGGTATTTCTCTATGGTTCTCCAGGCGCTTGTGG